GGTTTTACCCGGCCCTCGGTGGGTGCGTAAGTTTTTCCTGGGCCGGGAGCCAGGGTGCAGCGCTGTTATCCCGGGCCGCGGCCGGATCCGGTTATCTCGACTCCGGCCGCGCGTGCGAGATGCTGCGAGGCTGCGCCCCCTCCTCGGTGTCACCCCCTGCCTCCATCCTGGGCCGGGACCTCTCGGGATCAGCCTCCGGGATGCTCGTTAAAGCCTCGTGTCTTAATTTTTATGGGCTGTTTTTAAATATATGCGTCTTCCTGAAATTCCCTCCTGGGACACTTGTTTTTTAAAGTTATTATCGTTCTTTTTTTAAGGATTAATCATTTCCGTGTTCCATGAGGCAGGCAGCATCCCAAAATCCTGTGCTGAAAGGAAAAAAAAGCAACAAAAGGGTAAAAAAAAAAGGAGTTGTAAAGCCAAACGCAGCCTTCTGTGGGTTTGGGGGGGCTGTTGTCACCCCACAGGTCGATGTCGCTGAGCATCCTGGCTTCCGTGTTTGGGTGATGAAGGAAGCAGGAAGCAGCAAAACAAAAAAAAAGATTTTATTAAAATTACAAGCGCTGCACTCGCCTTCTTATAAGGTACAGGAGTTATAGGGAAAAAACCACGAGTGCTGGATGTCTCTGGGCTGCAAATGAATTTATTGCACAGAAGCAAGAAGCGGAAGTGTCTTGGGTTTTGTTTTTTTTTTTTCCTCCTCTAAGCTCCAAATAAAGCTGCTCTTTTCTGCAAGCACTTAAAAAACCCCAACCCAACAAACCCTGCGCATGGTTTTGCAGCAGTTTCCCATGCAAGGCTGCCTTGCAAAACTTTTTTTTTTTGTCCCTCCTTTATTTATTTATATTTTGCCTAACTCACCATCTTGAGCCTCTCCTTTAATGGCGAGGTTGAAGCCGAAAGGCTCCCGGATCGCACCGGGCAGTGCCTTTTGGAGCTGGGAAGCCCGAAGCGAGCGGGAGGAGCTGACTCACAGTGACCCTGCCTCCAAAAACGCCGGCCGCTTTGCTCCCAGCTCTGTCCCTTCACCTCTACAAGTTGCTGGAAGTAGAAATACAGAGATTACTTTTTTTCCTAAAAGTTGAAAAATTGACTTTTTTTGCTAAAAGTTAAAAATTTAAGTTGGGTGGTTTTTTTTTTTTACTAAAGATTAAAATGATAAGGGTTTTGCTTTGCTAAAGGTTAAGATTGCGGAATTAATGTTACTGTTTTTTGGGGGTAGCCACTGGTGTTGGGGTGCGGAGGTGCCACCTTTACAGCGCAAAGTTTGGGCAGTGCAGCCCCATCCCTGCAGCCCTATGTGGGGCATCACTTGTTGCCTTCCTTGGGATGGGCCAGCAGGCCTTCAGCAATGTAAAGTGAAAATGGGTACCCCAAAAAATGAGGGGTAGCCTCCAAAAAGCAAAGAAAAATTATGCAAAACCCCATAAACACCCCAGACCAGAGAAGAATTCCCCAAAACCACCCAAAATCCAAAATAACCTCATTTTTTTAAACAGCATTTGTTCACGCACAGGTTGCTTTTGGCATTCCCAGTGTCACCCGTCGCAGTTTTGCGGAGCAGCGGGTGGATGGATGAGGTCGGAATTGAAATTTTGCTCTTTTTTGAGGGCCTTTTTCTTGTTTTTGTGGGATCCCAGCAACTTTCCAGCCTATTTTTGCCCGTCCAGGAGAGCATTTTCTTCTCAGGGTGGATTTATTCGGGTGCGCTGAACAAAACCAAGTGCCAAAACCTCCCTGATTACTTGTGTCAGGGCCAAGCCTAATTAATGAGCTTCATTAGCGGGGCTGGCTTTATTCCCTATTGCTTTTTCCCGGCAAACTTTTAACGCAGGGGGAGGCGGCTTGGCTGGAGAGAGGAGGTCAGTGAGCCACACTTATTTATATTTATTGATATTGTTTATGAAAAACAAAGAAAAAGAAAATGATTCTTAAATAAGAAAATAGCTTTTTTTTTTTTTTGGTGTTTACTTTCCCATTGGATTTAGGGTTTGCGTTTAGGTGGGGTCTGCTTGACACCAGTTCCCGGGGAATATTAGTCTGAGATTTCTGGGGGAGCATCCCTGGCTTGCAGTGATGCACCAGGATAACTGGGGAGAGCCCAGCCTCCCCCCCCTAAATTAAAGAGCTTAGAAATTTCACGTGGATCATCCCAAAGCTGATTAACTGGGAATGTCGGATCCTGGTTCTCGGAGCTGAGCGCTGGGAAAATCTCCTGCTTGGGATAATTGGGCTGTTAACGAAGGTGGCCCAAGTGCTGGCCTGCCCTGACCCTGCTCCCAAACAAGGCTGCAATTGTCGCTTCGGCTTAGGCGGGAGGAAGAGGAGGTGGGCGAAGGATTTGCCAAATAGCCGGGATTTTGCTTAGCGACTGTTAATTAGGCCCCGGTGCAAAAACTTCTTTAACGGCGGGGGGCCGCGG